GCAGAGAGAGCTAGAAAAGAGCAGCGAGAGAGAGCTCAATTGGTCTTCTTATTGCCTAGTTTGGATCGAAACTATTCTGCATCTGTTTTGATGGCAGAATCTTTTTAAGAATTAAAAGCAAAATGTGGAAATAGTGAAGATTAGTAGTCAAAAGACCTTTTCATAGACGGGGACTTCTCTAAGATGGTATGTCTCCACATAAATTTAAAGAATCCTTAGAATTTGTCCTATGAGCTCCTTGAGGTTGTTGGGCTCCAGTTGAAGAAAGTTTGTCCTTTGAATATTCCTCAAATGGGTTTCACTCCATACCCGCAGCTCCTGACTCATTGGAGCCCTGGCCTGGTCCCCATTGGAGAAAATTCCAAGCAAGCACGGAGCCTTTCCACTGCTGTTCTCTAATCTCCACAGCCAGCACAGTGCCCATCACAAAATGTAAATCTACTGTGTCCTCCTTGGTTCTCCTTACTATAGCATCCTCCCACACACCAGTCTCCATCCCACGACTCTTACCTTGCCCAGAAACCCCAAATGTTTTGAGAATCTCTTTCCCATGCAACACAGGGACTGCTTTGTACCTTCATGCCTTTCATCCAATTGCTTAGACTCTCCTCCTTACTTGAGGTGCTACCCTGCCCCCAGATCCTCTTTGCTCTTGCCAGAAAGCTTCCTGTTCACCATAAACTCATTCCTACACTTTAGAGGCTTTCCATTGTAACTAGTGTGTGGGCTTGCACCCAAAGGACAATTGGTCTTCCCCTTGAGAATTGGCATCATGACCATTTCCCAGTTTCAGATCTCAGTCTGATGCTATGCACAGAGCTTCCCTAAGCACCCAACTCTGATGCTATCTCGCTGCTTCTGTAAAGCCCTTCTGATTCCAGAGAGCACAGACCTTGAATGAACAGACTGATATCGAACACTCTGTTATATTACACGTCCCCCCTTTTTTTTGCCAGTCCCCCGTTGTTGAACTCAGGGTCAAGCACTATCCCTGAGCTTCTTTTGCTCAAGGTTAGCGCTTTACCACTTGAGCCACAGCACTACTTCTGGCTTTTTCTGTTTATATGGTACTGAGGAATGGAACCTAGGGCTTCATGCATGCTAGGAATGCTAAGCCACATTCCCAGACCAACATATCTTCCCCCCCCCAACACACACAAAGAAATATCAGAGCCAAGTGCTGGTGACTTGTGCCTGTAATCCTAGCTACTCAGGAGGCTGAGATCTGAGGTTCATGGTTCAAAGCCAGCCCAGGCAGGAAGTCTGTGAGACTCTTATTTAACCACCAGGAAACCAGAAATGGTGCTGTGGCTCAAAGTGGTAAAGCGCTATCCTGAAGCAAAAGAACTCAGGGACTGCAGCCAGGCCCCTGAGTTCAAGCCTCATGACCTAAGGGGGGGAGGGGAAACAGAAATATGGGGGGCAACTGAATTTCTCTTGGCCCAAATGAGGGCAGTAGAGGTACCCAGAGAACCATTTCCCTTAATTATACACAAGGACCTTCCTAGAAAATCTAATCCACCACAATTTCTATGTCTAGTAGACTGCAGGATAGAGAGGCCCCAACTTAATGGCATCACTTACCTCCTAAGGGCTGGGTGGGGAGACGGGGAGCTGTTGAGCTGGAGCCTGTGGAAGCACTGGCAGTAGAGGTGGTGAGTGTGGGAGGGGATGTGGAGGGTGGTGAGGGACTGCGTGGCCTCAGGGTATTTGTCACTGCCCCTGGACACGGAGGGAAAGAAGACATGAGTTAAAACTATTGCGAGCAGCAGAATCATGACTCAGAAAATTAGGATCTAGAAATGAAAGTTCCAAGCTTTCTCCTCTGAGCTCACCCAAAAATCCTATCTATATGAGCATTTTAAGTTACCCAATAAAAGATGGAGAGATACTGAAAATATACGACTAATCACTGTATCCTCCTGTGACCTTGGACATAGGCCCTGTTGATACCACTAGACAGTTGGTTCACCTGGAAAAGCAGTCCCCTGAGAAACAGTCTCTGTCAGAGTGGGTCCACTTGGAGAAGATGAAACGGTTGACGTGGTCACCTGGGGGAGGATGCTTATTTGAGACTGGCTGGTGGCCTCCATGCTTGGAGTCTGGGTTATCTGAGAAAATGCAGTTGATTCTTGAGTAGAGGTACTGAGTGTTAGTCTTGATGATTGTCCACTTGACACAGGTGTCCTGGAGAATGCCACAGTGACTGGAGTAAAACTTCCAGATACCTGTGGTGATGATGTGTCCGATATGTTCCCTGGAGTGGATTCTGAGGATCCTGTCATGGTAAAGACCTCTGACACTGGTGAGGATGATGGGGTAGTTATGCTACCTGTAGGGAGAGATTTCTGCAAAATTGTCTCTGTCGAAGTGTGTCCACTTCTGAAGGATGAAAGAGTTAAGGTAGTCATTTGAGACTGAGTGGTGGATTCCAACTTCTGAGTCTGGGAGTTCTGGGAAAATGAGTCAGATTCCTGAGTGGAGGCAATGGGGCTTGGTCCTCCTGATTGTCCACTTGACACAGGTGTCCTAAAAACTCCCGTAGTGACAGGAGGAAAGCTTACAGATACTTGTGGTGGTGCTGTGTCCCCAGTGTTTCCTGGAGTGGAGTCTGGGGAGGTTGTCACGCTGAACACCTCTGATGTTGTTGAGGGTGTGGTGCTCACACTAGAAGGACTTGAGGTGGTTATTTCACCTTTAGGGGATGTCCCAGGAGAAACAGTCTCTGTCAGAGTGTGGCCAATTTTGGAGGATGAGTGAGGTGAGGAGGTTGTCTCTAGGAGGGTACTCATTTGAGATTGACAGGTAGTCATGCTGTGAGTCTGGGTGTTCTGAGAAAGTGAAGATGATTCCTGAGTGGAGGTGCTGGATATTGGTACTGTTGACAGTTCATTTGACACAGGTGTTGTTGAGACTTCTTTAGTGACTGAGTTGAGACTACCAGCAGCATGTGGAGATCCTGTGTCCCTTGCATTTCCTAGGGTGAAGCCTGTTGAGGTTGTCATGGAGTTGTTGATACTAGAAAGAGATGAGCTAGCTGTTTCAGCTAGAGAGGATGTTCCAGGAGAAACTGTCTCTGTCAGAGGTTGACTAGTTGGGGAGGATGAAGGAGCTGAGTTGTCCCCCTCTGTGCGGGTACTCAATTGAGACTGACCGGTGGGCTCTGGACCCTGTTCTGTGGTGTTCTCAGAAAATGAGGCTGATTCCTGAGTGGAGGCAATGGAGCTTGGTCCCATTGGTAGTCCATTTGGCACAGGTGTTGTTGACACTCCTGTGGTTACTGGAGTAAGACTTGTAGATACTTGTGGTAGTGATGAGTCCCCCGTGTTTCCTGGAGTGGAGTCTGTGGAGATTGTCCTGCTGAACACCTCTGATGTTGTTGAGGGTGTGTTGCTTACACTGGAAGGACTTGAGGTGGTTTTTTCCCCTTCAGGAGAACTCACAGAAGAAACTTTGTCTGTTTCATCTGTGGACGCTGTCTTGATTGATACTTCTGATGTTGTTGACATTGTATAGCTACCATTTGAACCTGAACCAGAAATGATAACATATTATTTAAATATTAGAGACAAGGTGCTAGAACTTTATTAGACTGGACAGGGTAAGTCAGTGATATCAAAGCTTTTGACTCCCATTTATGCATAAGGCACCCCATATAACTTTCATACATAGTGACATCTATAAGCCTTAATTTACCCTAGCCATAAATTCTGCACAGGCCTACTCATAAGTAATGTTATGAAAACAAGTGTCTGCACTTTGCTTCTGGTACAGGTTGTTTCTGAAGGTGGTAATGGAATAGTTGATTCAGTGCACCCTCTCTTTCGCATGTGCCAACAAATTGTTTGTCTCCGGCTTACACCATTGTTTATGTAATTATGTAATCAAAAGATTAGAACTTAAATTGTACACTCTAGAACTTTCAGTGTCTACTTGTAATCCTAGCTTTAGGGAGGGTGTGAAAGGAAGATAGTGAGTTCAAGGCCAGGCTAGGCTACTTTGGAAGACCCTGTCTCAAAACAGAGTAAAATTTAACTTACTTCTTGCCCTATACACATATTTTTCAAGCACTCACAGGAGATGTTTGACTTTGTTTCACAGCTTCCTTTTCATTTCAATCTAGTGCTTACCCGCATCATTTTTTCTCATACTCACCTTTTTCTCATTCCTCCCTAACAAAAGTTGGATTTGATTGTACATACCACACATAGGTGTGAAAATTTTACTCTGCACGACATTAAAATGTGCAATTCATACTAATAAACATAACTGCAAAGGATTATCAGCACAAGAAGGTGATTTTTCATGATTGGTCAAATTCAAAGCACTCAGAGCATGATAAAATAATAGTCTGGATGCACCCATGGGTGGTTAAGAGTGCTAATGTTCAGGGCCTAGTAGTAAGTCTTGCAACTATGTAGATGAGCCGGTTGTATGTGAGAATTTTTCAAGTGAAGATATACCATCAGTTTTTCCTAAGGAATTTAGAAATAAAATATGCCAGTCTTTCTTTCTGTAATCTCCAAATGTTCCTTCCTTTCAAAGAGCCATCAGAGGTCCCAAAAGATGGAGGTGGTTTCCTTCACCATGAGTGACTGATTGTCTTTCTGCATATTAGGAAACCACTGTGCCTTCCACACAGTGCTTGGTGGGGGCTGAATGCATCCCCTAAGTCTGCTCTGGGTCAGAGCTTGAGGTGCTTGCCTGGAAAGAAACATCTAGAAATAAGTAGAGAGAGGTAGAGGCACAGGATCCTCACCCAAAGGGCACCTGAATAGAGCTTCTAACTGCTCTATAAGGAAATCCCAGAGCTAAGTGTGGTTTGGGGGTACAGCATGTGCCCAGCATGCCTGAGGTCTGGCTTGATCCAAGCACTACCCCTACTTTCAAAAAAAAAAAAACCACCACAAAATCATGAGTTAAACGTTCCTTGGTTCTGCCCATCTTCTTCATGAGGGAAAAGACGAGATTAAACTGGAATGGTGAGGTGACTGTTGCTTCCCACTGTAGCTGAGGATGACAGCCTGGGCCACCACACCGCGCCGTTTTGTTCACATGGAGTTTTACACTTTCTGCCAGGCTGGCCTCGAACTGCAACCCCCTGGTCTCTGCCTCCCAAATTACAAGGATTACTGGCTTGAGCCTCTGTGCTGAGCAGTCATGACTATTCTTATATGAAAAAAAATTGTATCCCCCGGGGCTGGGAAGGTGGCTCAGTGGTAGAGCACTTGCCTTGCATGCCTGAGGCCCTGGGTTCAATTCCTCAGCACCACATAAGAAAAAAAAAAAAAGCTGGAAGTGGCGCTGTGGCTCAAGTGGTAGAGTGCTAGCCTTGAGCTGAAGAGCTGAGGGACAGCACCCAGGCCCAGAGTTCAGGCCCTATGACCGGACCAAAAAAAAAAAAAATTATATCCGCAACAAAATGTTTAAATACTATATTTTTATTTTTGGCTGTGGGGCCTGAACTCTGGGCCTGGGCGCTGTCCCTCAGCTCTTCAGCTCAAGGCTAGCCCCCTACCACTTGAGCCACAGCGCCATTTCCAGCTTTTTCTGCTTATGTGGTGCTAAGGAATCAAACCCAGGGCCTCATGCATGCAAGGCAAGCACTCTACCACTGAGCCACCTTCCCAGCCCCTAAATACTGTATTTTTTTGTTCCAAGTATTCTTCTGTACTTACACTACTAGGCGCCATTCTCTTGAACTTATCTTAAAGGTCTCTGAGTCTAGTCAATCTCATTCAATAACTTCCTTCCATTGATCTCTGAATTTTCTTTTTTTCCCCCTTTTTTATTGTGAAAAGATCATACAGAGGGGTTACAATTACATGGGCAAGGTAATGAGTACATTTCTTATCAAGCATGGTTGCCTCCTCTTTTGTTTCCCCTTCCTATCCCTTCCCATCTCCTGGTCTCTGAATTTTCTAACCAAAAAGAAAACTATTTTTTTGCATAGGAACTTATTGTTTGGGGCTTTTAAACCATTTGTGGAAGGAGGCTCAAACTTAGGGCCTCTCAAATGGCAGGCAAGTCTCTACTACGAAGCCACTACCCCAGATCCCTCCAGCTTTTCCTAACATTAGTATTCAAGAAGTTGGGAGGGAAGAAATTCAGAGTAAGAAACTCCTAGGGATGAAGAATTTAGGCTCAAGTACAGTTCTTAGAGTAGACTATAGTCTCTCTCCCCCTCTCCTTCCCTCTCCTTTTCTTCCCCTCCACCCTCATACTGTCCTTGCATTCTCAGTCCAGGTGACTCATCCTCTCCAGTACTGAGATAATAGGTTTGCACCACCACTGCCAGCAACCAGGTTTTTTCTTCTCAAGAGAACTATTTAGATGTTTAAGCGAGAGTGATTATGAGTCAATTTATTTTTTAATAAAAAGGAAGTGACTCACTGACAAGTTTGTCAGTACTGCCTGGGGACACATTTCTAAACTGAAGTGGACTCAGGCAGCGACTGAACTGCAGAGATGGACCATGAGGTTCTTAATTCCCCTCCTTAATCTAACTGGTAGAGGGCTTGGAACTCTAGGCTTACTCTCTCCTTTATAAAATTGCCATCATTTTTCCAAATAAGGTTTAGATTAAGAAGCATACTCCTTGCAATTTTGATAACCTTGCTTCTTATTCCTAAGAACATAATATTGAACATTGCTCTGTCATCAGGCTTTGAGTCTTGACAGAAGCTAGCTCCATGGTGAACTTCCTAAACCTACAGGTTCTC